GGGAAGGAAAGATTTGGGCCCCTCCATGGGAAGCAATGCCTTTCTCTCTAGGGCCACAGGCCTCCAGCTCGGCTTGGGAGTCGGTCTTGGGGCTTTCCACCCCTTCTAAGAGGAAGAACAGATGGGGCGGGTGCAGGGTCCTCAGCTCTCTTGTGTGCCTCCTGCCTGTGCCGACCTTCCTCTGCCTCACCATGAGCTTCTCTGGGAGGCTGGTGTCCCCAGCAGGCCCCTTTGTGCCACCACCTGTCCCGCCCGAGCCTGGCATCATCACCTCACTGTTCACTGCATGTTGCCCCTCCAATAATACACTCCTCCTTCTCCCTGTTCTTCTGGGCCAAGGATCAGGCTGTGTCTTCTATTTAACTGTGTAAATCAAGTATCTGGCCTTCTACACCCTCGCGCTTAGTGAAGCTACAGCCTCTGCAGTAAAGTGCTTGGTTTGTGCTTTCTGGCACTTTCTGCACTCCCACGAGGACTCAGTCCAGTGATTGGCCTGCTTCTCCTGGGTGACTGTCAAGCATGTTTGTTTGGTTTTGTGTCATTTCCTTTTTTATTATTTTTTGGGGGAGGGGTGAGGGACAAGGATACAGGAATAGCCGGTTCTCGCCTTGCTGTTGGGTGAGGGCTTCACTGCACCAAGGCTGTTCCTGGTGAGGGCCATACACAACAGAGTCCACCATGGGCTTGTCCCACAGCCCACCATAGCTATTCAGCCCCACTGCCCCTTCATTGTCCCCAGGTACTCCCTCATTCAGTGCTTCTGTTCACCCATGACCTGCCCTAGCGCCAGCTCATGCCATCTCCTCATGGAAAACCCAATCTGCATTCTTCCCCTGCTTACAAATATCGATGGTTCTTCATTGTCCTCAAGAGGAATCCAAATATCATATGCCCTTCTGGGTTCTTCCTTGGCCCCACACTGAATCTTATTTTTACCTTTGTGCCCCAGTGTTATTGTCCAGTTGCTGAATTCTCAAACATTCAAGTCTTCCTGCATGGTTCTTGCTGCACCCCAACTTCACCCCTATACACACACACCACACACATACACACACACACTACAGAAACACTATAGACACACACCACATACACGTGGACACACACAAAGACACATAACACACACATACTACATATACACACATATATACATACACATACCACACATACATACATACACAAACACACAAAACATACCACACACTTCACATCACATACACACAGGCACACATGCACAGGCACAAACCACACAAAGAGCCGTTCTGTACCTGGAACTCTCCCACTAACATAGGAAATATGTCAACTTCTCATCCTGGGCCTTGGGTTCTTACATCTAGGCCCCCTGTCTGTCTGTCTCTCTTGCCACAATGGCAAGTTTCAGAACCTAGCACAGAGTCTGACTTTTACATATCTAGAGAGTGAATGAATGAATGAGTGAGTGACTGGATGAGGGATGAATGAGTGACTAGATGAGGGAATTAGTGAGTGACTTGATGAGGGGTTGAGTGAATGACTAGATGAAAGGATGATTGAGTGACTGAAAGTTGGAATGAGTGAATGATTGGATGAGTGGATGAGTAAATGACAATGACTGGATGAGGGATGCGTGAGTGACTAGATGAAGGTTGAGTGAATGGTAAGATGAGGGATGAGTGAGTGTCTGGACGTGGGGATGAGTGTGCGACTGGATGAGGGGATGAGTAAATGACTGGATTAAGGGTTGAATGAGTGACTGGATGAGGGCTGAGTGAATGACTGGATAAGGGATGTTTGAATGATTGGATTCGGGATAAGTGGGTGTCAGGATGAGGAGATGAGTGATTGACTGGATGAAGGGATGATGGAGTGACTGGATGATGAGATGAGTGAAAGACTAGATGAGTAGATAAGTAAATGACAATGACATGATGAGTGATTATTGAGTGACTGGATGAGGGATGAGTTAATAACTGGATGAAGGTTGAGTGAGTGATGAGATGAGGGATGAGTGAGGGTCTGGATGTGGGGATGAGTGATTGACTGGATGAGGGGTGAGTGTGTGAGTGGATGGGGGGATGAGTAAATGACTGAATGAAGGGTTGAATGAGTGACTGGATGGGGGATGAATGAGTGACTGTATTAGGGATTAGTGAATGGCTCAATGAGGGATGAGTGAGTAACTGGATGAGGGTTGAGTGAGTGAGTGGATTAGGGATGAGTGAGTGGATGGGGGTTGAGTGAATGAAGGGATGAGAGGATGACTGAGTGGCTAGATGACAGAAAAGTGAGTATAGGAGGAGAGTCTGGATGAGGGGATGAGTGATTGGATGAGGGGTGAGTGAGTGACTGGATTAGGGATGAGTGAGTAATTGGATAGGGGATGAATGAGTGACTGGATGAGGGATGAGTGAGTTACTGGATGAGGGGTTGAGTGAATGAGTGGATGAAGGGATCATTGAATGGATGACAGAAGGGTGAGTATAGGAGACGTGTCTGGATGAGGGATGAGTGATTGACTGTATTAGGGATGATAAGTGACTGAATGATGGAAGAGTGAGTGTAGAAGGAGTGTCTGGATGAGGGGATGAGTCAGTGGATAGGGGATGAGTGAATGGCTTGATGAGGGCTTGAGTGAAAGAATGGATGAGGGATGTATATGTGCCTCTATGAAGCGATGAGTGAATGATTGGGGGAGTGGATGATTGAATGACCTGATTAAGGATGATCGAATGACTGTATAAGGAAATGAGTGAATGACTGGATGAGGTATGAGTGAATGACTCGATAGGAGGATGTGTAATTGACTGAATGAGAGGATCAGTGAATAGTTGGATGAAAGATGAGTGAATGACCGAAATAGCTATGTGTGAATGACTGGATGAAGGGATGAGTGACAGGATGAGGGGTGATGGGATGAATGAATGATTGGATGAGGAATAAGTGAGTGACTGGATGGGGGATTAATGTGGGGCTGGATGAGTAGATGAGTGAATGAACCCATGAATGAAGCTCATGAAAGTGATGTAAGATCTCTTGGCTTGGTCTTGGTGCCAGTGTCCCCAGAGCTTTGTCCGGGGCTCCCTGCCATTGGCCTGGCATCTTGTTGCCCTGGCTCTCTCAGCCATGGCTGTGGTACTATGGGAGGAGGATTCTTACCTTGCTGGGAGCATCAGATTAGAAAGAGCTTTCCTGAGAGCTAAGCCTCTTAGACCTGACCGACCATCTGTTGGCAGCTCTGTGGACACTGGGTGTCAACACTCGCCAGGAGGGATGGGTGGAGACAGGGGGTGGGGGACAGGAAAGTACTTCTGTGAGGGCACTTTACATCCATTCTTCTTGGATTTCCATGCTGGCCATCTCCCTATTTTAGAGAAAGGAACTGGCTTGACCAGAGTCACACAGAAAATTCTGGGCAGTGCTGGGTTTTGAGCCCTGGGAAGTCAGGCCCAGTGCCCCTGCTATATCACTAGTCCTCACTCCCTTCTTACATGTAGCTGGTGCAGTGATAAAGGGGTCTGAGAGGGGCTTCACGGCACAGGTTTCCATAAACAGAAAATTGTGGCTTAGGCCCAGTCACTGACTTTCTCAAACATGGAAGCTCCATCACATACATACATTTATTTATTTGTTCGTTTGCGTGTTCTTTAGAGCAGACTCACATCAGGAGGTGAGAAAGCAGCTCCTGCAAGCTATCACACACCAGTGGTTACAGACCAGGGGGCTGCTGCAGCTGAGGATGGCAGAGTCTCTGCATCCTGGTGGGCTTCCCCGGTTCCTGCTACCTGGCACTTGCAGGCTCAAGGCCTGTGGATCTGTAGCTGCCAATGGTCACAGTGGAATCCTGGAGTGTCAGTGCTGAAGTGGTCAGATGGGGATAGAGGCCAGGTGGGCTGAGCCTGGCTCACAGTAATTCTGAAGGTTGGTGGCAAGACAGGACCAGGATCCAGAATTCTAGAACTTGCCTTCTAACCTCCCAGCTCACTGCTGTGAAGGTTAGAAGGGGGTGAATGAATCTGTCCTGGACATTTTCCATCCCTGGACTTTACAAGGCCACAGAGGCTCATTTACGTGCCCAGGGCCACACAGCAGGACAGGCATGACAGAGCTCTGACCTTTGAATCCACATTGTGGTTTTCAACAGATTCTGGAGAAGACTTCTTCTAGAAGTGTGATGGTTAAGATCGTGTGGCAACTTGGCTGGGCCATGATTCTCAGTGTTTATATGCGATCACCACCATGATGGGATCCGCAGTGGGTAGCCAATCAGTTGAAAGGGAGTTTCCTTGGGAACATGGCCTGCATCTGAATATAAGCAGATGTTCTAGCTTTTTTGCTAGCTCTGGATCCTGAGGCTAGCTCCTGTTCGTCTGACCTCCAGTTCTGGGGAGTTGAGCTATCAGCTTATCTGCTGATCTTGGGATTCGTCTATCTTCGCAGCCTATGAGCAGGAGCCCTGCTCTCCAACCTGCTGATCTTGGGTTCACCAGCCTCTGTAGCTACATGAATCAGGAGAAGACCTGCAGTCTTGCCTACCAGTCTTGGAATTCATCAATCTCCACAGCCTGAGAGCAAGAGCCCTGCTCTCCGACCTGCCAATCTTGGGTTTGCCAGCCCCTGTGGCTGCGTGAATCAGGAGAAGCCTCTATCCTGATCCACAGACTTGGGATGTTCCAGCCTCTACAATCTCATGAGCCATTTCCTTGATATAAATTTATATATATATATACACTTTACTTTTTTTTTTTTTTTTATCTCTAGAGAACCCAGCCTAAAACAAAAAGGTAGCATGAAAGCAGTCCGAAGGGGCAGGAAAAGATGCTGAGTCTTTAGAAGAGGAGGTTTCCATGTCCAGGGCACAGTGAGATCCTTGTCCCAAGGAGAGGCATATAGCTTCTGGGTGATTTGGGTGCTGGTTGTGGCAGTCTCAGTCATGTGGAGCCTTGCTCTGGACAGCACATGTCAGACAGTGTGTGTCCTAAAGCCATATTTGCATCTTTTGACAAACATGTCCCATTTATGGGTCACTACACCTGTGGGAGGGCCCCTGGCACCACCCAGTTGGGGAGCCCTGTCCTGAGCTTGCAGGGTCGGCAGGGCCTCACGTGGTGACCTGGGAAAGAGAGGAAGAGAGACAAGGGAGTGGGAGGCAGAGAGGCAGGCAGAGCCAGGGGAGGAGAGAGGAAAGCCTGATTAAGACTTATTTTCAAACAGAGGTATTTGTTCAACATCAGAGCAAGAATCAGATGTTTCCCTCTTTCCTGGAAGCCCAGAAGGGGCCTTTCATGGCAAATATAACAGCCCAGACTGCAGCAGTCCTGCCAGGGAGATATCTGATTTCCTGGCAAGAAAGAGGATGCGGCTTTGCCTAAGCAGACTTTGGCAAGAGCAGGGTCCCCTGGCATTGACTTGGGAGGGCCTGGGAGGCCTGTTTCTGGCAGACCGTGGTCAGAGGCTCTGTCCACGGGTCCTTGCAGGCCCTCTGACACCCTCAGGACAGCACGTGTCAAGCAGTGTGTGTCCTAAAGCCACATTTGCATCTTTTGACAAACCAGTCCTATTTATGGGAGCAATAATCCACAAGAAAGATAAAACTGCATGCATTAAGCTATTCTTCATAGTTTTGTTTTTAATAGCAGGAAAAAAATTGGCAACAGTCTAAATATTCTACAGTAGAGAAATGATGATGGAGACCTTTTGCAGTGATAAAAATCAGTGGTAATGAAGGCTGCATAGCAGCATGAAGAAAAATGCTTATGATCTAATTATCATTTTAAAAAAATTTTAAAATGAGGCACAATATAAAAAGAAACTAGGTAAACATGCTTGCATAAAGATAAAACAAAGGGAATACAAATTGAGAAGAGTTACTATATTAATGAAATTACTCTTTTTTCTCCTTTTGTTTCCAAATACTATATTCAGTATAGGGAGCTAGAATTATATGGGTTCAAGGCCCAGATCTACCACTTACTTAGTAGCTGTATGACCTTTCACAAGTTACAGAACCTCTTTGTGCTTTGGTCTGTCATTTGGAAAAATGGGGATAATAACTGTATCTACCTCATAGGTTAGTTTTGAGGGTTAAATGCGTTAACAGACGTAAAGTGTTGCACCTAATAGTAATTCCTATGTAAAGACTAGCTGCATAAAAAATAAAATTATCGTAATTCATTCATAGCCTATGTCTTAATCATAAGTAAATGCTAACATAGTATATTGGTGTAGTTTTCTTTCTATTTTTTCTTCCTATTCGAAAATGCTTTTATTTTCCTGTAGTGACGATCACAGTAACACAGTATAACCTACTCTTTTCCATTAATAGCATGTGGTAAGAACTGCCCTCCAGCATTTGTGATGGAGGTCATGATTTCCTGACTACCACTGCCCTTCTGCCACGACCCTCAGACCCAGGCCTCTCCTTTCTGGCTTTTACCATAGATGCTGTGGTTGGTTGATTGCAAAAATGGTTGGAGTTTTCCACCCCTCCTTTGCAATGTGGCTTTGCAGCTTCTCTCATCCAGACATTGAGTCTTTTTACCTTGTCCTTGAGTCTGGGTTGGTCTGTGCCTTGCTTTAGCCATTAGCATGTGATGGAACAGTTCTGAACCTACACCCAAGAGGCCTCATGTGCTTCCACTCACTCTTGGAATCCACTGCTGCCCTGTGGACAAGCCCAGACTAGCCTGTTGGAGGATGAGAGACCACATGGAGGAGAGTCCAGTTATCCCAACTGAGACCATCCTAGTCTTGCAGACTGGGATCCCAGTGATGCGGGCGAGCCCAGCCAAGATCAGCAAACTACCGACTCAACCCTTAGAAGAATGAAAGAGCCCAGTCAAGACTAGAACTGCTCAGCTGAGCTGCAGACTCATGAAAAATAATAACTACTTATTGTTTGAAGCACTGAGGTTTAGGATGGCTTGGTTATGCAGCTATGGCTAATGAATACAACTACAAGGAACAAGACCATGGAATTGAGGCCCTCTGATTAGTAAGCTGGGTGGAACAGGCTACCAGCCCTCTCCACCTCCTCCTTTCCATTGACTATGGTCCTGGGTCCTCAGGGTCACCCTGGTACCACTCGAGATTGCCAAAACCCTCGATCATTACTGTAGTGGTCCTCAAGGGGTAACCTTTGTCCCTGTGGCCTGGGATCCTTCCTGAAGATGGAGATAATCCCATGGTGGGGGAAGGACCCTCACTGCACCCTTTACCCTGTGTATCCCTCTGTGGCCCTTTCCCGCAAATGACTCTGGTTCAAGTGGATTTGCGGGACTTCAAAGCAGGGAGAAGGACATGGAGCTCTCAGGAACCAGGTAGTCTGTGGGGTGGGCACTCCATGGACCTCCCCCAGGAGCTTCCTTGCTGACAGCCTCAGGGCACATGGAATGAAGGCATCTGGGCCAGGAAGCCTCAGTTGCTATGACAGAGCTGGACCTTCTCCCCAGCCACAGCAGGTCCTGTTTATGGGGTCCTCTGTGCCAGGAGTCCCTGGGTGGTACAAATGGTTAACGTGCCTGGATGTTAACTGAAAGGTTGGCAGTTTGAGTCCACCCAGAGGTGCCTTGGAAGAAAGGCCTAGCAATCTTCTTCAAAAAAATAAGCCATTGAAAACCCTATGGAGCACAGTTTTACTCTGGCACACATGGGGTCTCCATGAGTCAGAATCAACTTGACCACAAATGGTTGTACTGTGCTAGTCCTATGTGGAATACTTAATAGTCATCATGCCATTGACTCTTCAGATATTGTCATAATCTTGTCACAGATGAGGACACTGAGGTTTAGCAATGTTGGATGACCTGCTCAGGGGCACACAGCTAGCGGTGAAGGAGCTGTGATTCCCACTTCCTCCTGGGAAGTCTGACAACCCCCTCAGGCATGTGCCAGACTTGATCTACATGCTTCAGGAAGACTCTATCTAGGAGCAGTTTGCTGTGGAAAAAAGTGGACAGATCCAGATTCCTGACTCTGCCTCAGTTTCTTTCAAATCCTGTTTCCCAATCTGTAAAATGGCAACATATGTACCTACGGCGGTTTCAAGGATCTCAATAAAATCACATGATAAGGGCCCAATAAATGTGAGTTTATTTCACTCAACTCGTTCTCACTGAGTTGTTTGCAAATTTCCACAATGGATTTTTTTTATATGTACCCTAAAGGAAAGTTAGTCTTAACATGGAGGCCACATGCTTATTCTCCCAAAGTATTGTGTGACTTAAAAAAAAAACAACTGCCCTTCTACTTTGTACAAGGAGTTAATCTGGCTGCTTTCTTATGAACTGTGTGTGTGTGAGTGTGTATGTATGTGTGTGAGTGTGTGTGTGGGTTTTGTGTGTATGTATGTGAGTGTGTATGTGTACTTGTGCATGGATGAGTGTGTATGTGTGCACGTGTGAGTATGTGTGCATGTATGCATGTGTGTTACGTGTGTGAGTGTGTATGGGTGCATGTGTGCATGCGTGCATGTGAGTGTGTGTGTGTGCACCCTCATCTTCTCTTTTCTTTACTGCCTTTGCACAAATGCATCCCGGGACTGGGATAGGGGTTGAGCCCAGTGGGGAAGGCTGTGCTTCTCTCCCTGCCCTAGGCTGGCGCCTTATTTCATTAACCTGCTCCTCCTCCACCAGGTTGGAACTTTGGGCTGAGTAGTGTTGCAATCAGCCAGGCCATCCCCTCCCCGCTGCCCGGGGCGGGTGCCTTGCTCTCTGCTCAGCAGGTTATTTTTGCCCTGCCCTGCTGGATGTGATGCTAGCTCGGAAGGAGGGGCTGTCGGTCTGGGGAGAGGTGGCCTGGCTTAAGCTATCTTGCACCTCGCTCCTCCCTCCTCATTCTCATCCCAAGCTTCCCTTGGGTGGACAGGACTCCTTGGTAGCTGGGACGGGGGCAGGTGGTGGTGGCTCTGGTCATGGGCTCTTTGGGCCATGGCCTCAGAGGAACAAGCAGGGCCAGGGCCTTCTCAGACCCACCGAGGGAGGGCGTTGGGGCCGCAGAGAGTCCAGGGCAGGAGCCCTGGGTTTGTGTCCGGCCTGTCTGGCTCCAGACCTCTGCAGCCTTCCCGCTGGCTCTGCCCTCCCTGTGGTCTAAGCCCCTCCTGCCAAAGGCCAGGCAAGGTCCAGCAGCCCTGACCTCACAGCCGGCCAGAGGACTGCAGTGTGCCAGTTGCCCCGCCTGGGCCCCGACGCTGGGAGCTGGCACCTGCAGCCTGCCTAGGCTTATCTCCCTCAAGCCTGTGCCCTCCAAGCCTTGCAAGATAGGCCAGTCTCACCCTCTAGGCCCTGAGCATGGAGCCTGCAGACTGAGACTGGTTCCCCCAGCCTGCTGCCTCCTGCCTGCATGTCTAGGGGCTGCCTTCCCCCTGCCACCCCTGAGCAGGGGTTCTCTGCACCTGCGTGCTCCACCCACCCCTGGTGACACCAGCTGCTGGGAGAGCCCACAAGGCTGGTGGGCCGTGAGCACTGGGTCTCCCCGGGGTGCATTCATACAGCCTTGCCTGTGGTTCTCATGAGCACCCTCAGACCCCCCACTCTCCTTGCTCACTCCCTCTGTCCCCGCCTCCTCTGCCTTCCCTGAGCCCCAGCCCTTCGCTGCCTTCCTGCCAGCGTGGCATCTGCCTGCGCCCCTCACCCTCCACACTCCTCATGCCAGCCCCTAGCCCCCTTCAGCCTGTGACAGCACCTCACCTTCTCTGAGAGGCCCTTCCTGATGCTCTTTTCTTCGACAGAACATATTCGGTTCCAAATTATTAATTTATTGCCTCTTTCGGGGGGGCAGGGTCAGTTTCCCGCACTAGACTGCGAGAGCTCTGTGAGGCCAAGACCATGCCTGCTCGCTGGCTGTCCTGTGCCGGCACTCCACGCGGTCACACACAGGGCCCACCCATGAGGAGCAGGGCAAGTACTTACCTCTCAGGACCAGGCCAGTACCTCTGGGGCAACAGGGCCTGCCTCTCCGGGGCTTGGCATGATGCCTCCTACCTGGGGGAACACAAAGAAGCAGGGATCCCCTGAGTGATTTGGGACACTGCAGGGTGGGTCTGTGTGGAATGGTTTAAGTGAGCTTCAGCTCCCAAGGCCACTATGCTCTGAAGCTGGAGCACGGGAGTTCACGGATATTTATTCAAGGAAACCAGGTCCGCCAGGCTGTTGGAGGCCTGGGGAACGGTGGGCCCTGTTGTGATTTACTTTTCAGAGTAACAAATTCGGTGTTGGGAAAAACCATGCCCTACGACCTCACGTTCCTTTCCAGAAACAGTTCAGCACCCTGACTCTGAACTTTCATGCCCCTTGACCCAGCAATTTTCCCTTTGGCAATCTAGCCAAAGAAAATAACTCCAAATATCTGAAATATTTTATGTACAAGTATGCGTCTGCCACTTAGCTATTATAGTGTGAAGTGGTGAACCATCTCAATGTCCACACGTGCAGATTCATCACAGCACGCTCACTTGATGGCAAATTATACCTAAAAATATTAAATAATGCCACTGAGGGGAATCTTCCAGAAATAGCCCTAAACAGACAGGAAACGTTCTAAGTAAATAAATTCATCTTTATTGCATCTTCATTAAGGTTACATTGGCAACCACTGTTGTTGTTAGCTGCTGTTGAGTCGGCCCCTGACTCATGGTGACCCCATGCACATCAGAACAAAACACTGCTGGGTCCTACACCATCCCCATGATCAATTGTGGATTAGACTGTTGCAATCTGTTGGGTTTTTGGAAGTAGATAGGTAGACCTTTTTTCCTAGTCCATCTTAGTCTGGAAACTGATGAAACCTGTTCACATCATAGCAACGTGCAAGCTTCCCCTGACAGACTGGTGGTGGCTGTGCATGAGGGGCGTTGGCTGGGAATCAAATCTGCGTCTCCTGCATGGAAGGCAAGAATTCTACCACTGAACAACCAACGTCCCTCTATGTCAACGGCAACTTCCAACGTGTCCAAAATAAGAGGTCTGATAAATTGCCTACTGGAAACTGCATTAATGAGGAATTCTAATCACTGTTTTCCTTATCATTAAATGTGACATTTGTTCACTGAAGAAAGTTTAGAAAACAAAATACTTCCTATAATCCCACCACTTAAAGACAACTACTATTGACATTCCAATGTGAATGTTTCCAGAATAACTTCAATCATAAGTATTTTTGGTGTTAAATAATACAGTGATAATTTTTTAAATATAAAATTGAATGTGTAGAGTGATCTCAATTAAAATAAAAAATACTTACATGCAGTACTGAAAAGGAATCAACAGAAAGCTGAACATGGTTACCCTTGAATGGTGAAATTATGGGTGTTTCCCTCCCTTTATATATTTCTATAGGAGTCCCTGGGTGGCACAAATGGTTAAGTGCTGGACTACTAACCAAATGGTTGCCGGTTCAGATCCACTCAGAGGCACCTCACAAGTAAGGCCTGGCCTGTCCATCTGCTTCCAAAAGGTCTCAGCCTTGAAAACCCTATGGAGCAGTTCTACTCTGCACACTTAGGGTTGCCATGAGTTGGAATCGACTCAACGGCAGCTAACAACGAAAACATGTATTTCTATATTTCCTACTCCATTGGATGTAAAGTTTAAAGGTTAAAGAGACCATAACTGCCAAAACAAAAAGTAAAAGTAGGCAGTTTCTGGAGGATTAGGCAAGAGAGAAAGATCAAAAGATGCAGCTATCCAAATCAAGAAAGGCAAGAGATATCCAGTGAGGTGAAAGGGCCTTGTCCAAATACACATAGACATACGCCACACACACACTCATCCCATCTGTCTTGGGAGTTTTCTATGCACCGGGTTTTGGGAAGCTCGGAGTCAGGAAGACTTCTCATGAATGTATTCATTCATTCACGCACACTCAACGCAAGGATACTCTGTTCCAAGCAAGATGGAAAGACCACAGAGGTGGCTGCAGAATTTCTTCTGTAGGCAGGGCTTAGGTGCAGCAAGTAGCTGGAGGTCGTGGGTTTGCACAGTAAGCACACTGCTTTTACTCAGCTGTGCGTGAGTTTCAGGGATCTGGGACTGGAGGTGGAGACTGTGCTGCCAGGGCCTGCCCTCCAGCACTCCCTGATTCCACCCTTCCCAGACACCAGATCTCTCCTTGGAGACAAGCACCCCAGGGAACAGCCCTACCTTCTGCCAAGAAGATAGAGAAGCAGAGAAGCAGGATGCAGAGCACGCTGGTGAGGATGGAGAGCCTCATGGTGGGGGTGGGTGCAGAATCCTGTGTCCTGGGAAGGAGCTGGGTTAGGGAGTCCTTCCTGAGGGCCACTGCAGACCTTTATAGAGTGGCAGAGAGGCGTTTCCAAGAGGGCAGGGCACCATCAGTCTTGAAATTCTTCTAAAGACTAGAGCTGGCCCCTCCCAGGAGGAATGAACCAGCTTTTCGAGAAGCCAAGAGCATTTAGTGACCTGGGGCACACAGAGCTGTAAATGCTGCCCAGCCCAAGTGGGCCCAGTGGTGGCCTGGCAGCCACAGCAAAAAAGTCCTGTCAGGGAAGAGAAGAGCCACTCCCCAGGGTTGAACGTTAACTTTTAGTGTCAGTAATCACCCCATCAACTGCAGATCATCCTGCTCGTTTCCTGGACGCAGCCAGAAGGGCCATAAAACCCTGTGCGCAGCCTTGGGGATCAGCTGCCAGCAAGGGGTGAAATGTAGACAGCACAGGCCCCAGAGCCAGAAGACCTGGATGTGAATCCCTGCTCGGCCATTTTTCAGCAACGTGAACTTGAACTTGGCATTGAATGTCTGAGTCTTTCCCATCTGTGAAATGAGCATAGTGCTACCTTTCTCACAAGCTGGAAAGAGGAAATATATGAGCAACAGGGCAGACACTCATGCTGCAGTGGACCTTTGAGGGCCATTTAAGGTGGTGATGAGAAAACTGGCTTTTTAGGTGCAGGGTCAGCCTGAGCAAGTGTATGGCATCAGGACACATCCTACAAGGGCAGACATCAGGGAAAAGCCTGCCTGACGGGCCAGGAGGCCTGGTTGTCACCCACTGGTTGGGCCCATTCCAATGGCAAGGCAGTGCATTCGGCTCCAGGACACAAAAGACACTGGGCCTGGCATTAAAGGCTTCTGTTGGTGGGGAGAGCATGGAGTGTGATAAGTGCCTTCTCGGCTAAGTTTAGTGCAAAACCAAACACCAGGTGCCGTCCTTAACTCCAACTCCTGGTGACCCTATGTGTGTCATCTCAGAAGAGTGCTCCATCAGGTTTTCAGTGGCTGATTTTTCAGAAATAGATCTCCAGGCCTTTCTCCCCAGATGCCTCTGGCAGGACTCAAACCGCCAAACTTTGGGTTGGTGGCTGAGCACATTAAGAGCACTTTAACCATTTGCACCATGCAGGTACTCCAAAGGTCCGTGCAGAGTGAAGGAAACTAACTGCTCTTTTGGTTTGTTTATGTCTTTGTGTCTAAGGTATGTCTCTTGTAGACAGCACATAGACGGATAGTGTTTTTTTATCCATTCTGCCACTCTCTGTCTCTTTACTGGTGCATTTAGGCCATTTACATTCAGTGTACTTATTGATAGGTATGAGTTCATCGCTGTCATTTTGTTTTTTATTTTGTGTGTGTGTGTGTGTGTTGACAGTTTCTTGTTCTGCTTAACTTTCTGTACTGAGTTCTTTTTGTTTATATATTTTCTTTTCATCTGTTTCATTATTGTTGATTTTTTGTTTGCTGAGTCTTTATGTTTTTCTTCCTTTTTATTTTGTTGGATAGGCTTGTTAGCTTCCTTTGTGGTTACATTGAAATTTACCTTTATTTTTCTAAGTTTAAACCGATCTTTTATTTCTTGATTTCGCCTCGACTTTCTCTCCATATGGAAGACTACACCCTTGATTCTCTTTTTTGGTTTTGATGGTATCATCATTTACATATTGACATCTCTGCTTCCCTATTTTCAGTCTCTTAGCTTTGATTTATTTTTGGGGATTCCCTATCTGGATTGGTATCCGGTTGATATGTCCTGTGTCCTAGTCTTTGATTGTTGTCTGATGTTGTTGGTTCTCTAACCAGAGGACTCTCTTGAATATTTCTTTTGATTTTGGTCTGGTTTTTCACACATTCCCTTAATTTCTGTTTATCTGAAAATGATCTAGTTTTGCCATTGTATTTGAGAGACAAGTTTGCTGGATGTATAATTCTTGGCAGGGAATTTTTTTCCTTCAAGGCTTTATATATCTAACTACTCATTTGGGGTGGGGAGATGCTGCAGAGATGAGTCTAGACTGGGTGGGGCTGATGGCAGCATGGTAGACCAGGCCCTGGTGGCCTTCCTGGGCAAGCAGAGGAGTAGACTCACTGGAGTCTGAAAAGGGGGGCCTAGACGTTCTGCCCAAGGGTAAAGACTGGTGGGTGAGTGCTTCAGGCTCCTTTCCATCAGGGAGGGTCCCTGCGGGCCTGAGCATATGCAAGGCCCCACCCTTCACTGGTGTCAGGGATACAGTGGCCCTGGGCCTGTGAGGGAGAGATGAAGGGTGGGCACAGGACCCTCAGGATCACTTAGGGTGTGCCTCTGCCTGGGATGCTCCCAGCTCCCCTTTCCCAGTCCAGCCCCTGCTCATCCTACCATATCCAGCTCAAGCACTGCCTCCTCTGTGGAGCCCTCCCTGCCTGCTCCCATCTTTGAGTCACCAATGTCCTGAGCACTGGCCTCAGGAAGTTACCTCTCAACACGCTGCCTCCCACTGGAGGAAGGGTGATGGACAGGACCCTTGAGGGGTGTGCAGGCTGTGAGGTCCTCACACTTTTTTGCCTGGGGGGCCTCTCTGATCAGTTGAAGGCAGGGCAGAACTTGAAACACCTTGGGTGTGCAGAAAGTCCACTGTGGCCCCTGCCCACCTTGCCTGGAGATAATGTTCCAGCAGGAGGAGGTGATCCCAAAGACACAGAGCTGGGTCCACGTGCCTGGGCTGACTCCCAGAGAAGTAGAGGACCGAGGGGCATGTAAACGAGAGTAAGATGAAAGCATGCGGGAGTTGGTTTCCATGTTGTTGAGTATGGTTGGGGCTGACTTTGGCTAAAGAAGAAAATAAGGTCTGTGTTGAACTAGAGTGGATGATGGACTGGCTGCAGGAGCTCGTGGACACCAGCCCTTGAAGACGCACACAGGTACCACGCCTGGGTGCACAAACACAGAAGTTGCGTCTGCCTTCGTGATATCGTGTCCACCTGTCCTTTGCTTTAATGAGTCTGCCCCTCTAGTCAAGGACGGGCTCTGGTGCCCAACCTCCAAGGGGGTGTGGGGAGGTGCCTGCAGTGAGGCTTATCCACGGTGCCCTTCCCTGGCCTCCTCATTTGCTAGAGACAAAGAAGCAATTTAGAACCCATGCTCAGACTGCTGTGGAGCAAGTCAGTGGCCAGGGGTTACTTGGACAGCCAACCTGTGTGCTTTCATATGTTTGCAAACACTCTAAGACTAATCCACAAAAGAAACTGGTTGGGGCCACTGGGATTAAGTACCATACATCATGTAACGTCACTGACCCACCTACCCTCATCCCCTCGAGGCTGCACTTGGAGCCGCCGGAAATGTGATCAGGTAGACCCAGGAGTCCACTAGGGACAACTCTGGAGTTGGTGCCGTGGATAGACTTGGGGGTGCCATTGTTGGAAGCAGAGCAAGGAAGAGGATAGGACTTGTCCTGAGGCTGCTTTTGCGAGCAAGTACGCTTTCTTAGATTGCATACTACAGGTCGATAAACTTGGCAATGTTTCCTAAAGATGCTTTCCCTAAGGTTGGAATGATGCCCGCAGTCCACATCGAGGAATGTCACCACCCAAACCCATGGCTGTTGAGTCTATTCCGACTCCTAGTGAACCTATAGGGCAGAGCAGAACTGGCTCATAGGACTTCCAAGGCTGTAATCTTTATGGAAGCAGACTGCCACATCTTTCTCCCTCAGAGCGACTGGTGAGTTCTAACTGCCGACCTTTCAGTTAGCAACTGAGCGCTTAATTTAACCACTGCTCCACCAGGGCTCCTTAAACTGCCCCATAGAGTTTCCAAGACCGTAATCTTTATGGAAGCTGACTACCACATCTTTCTCCCACAGAGCAGCTGGTGGGTTTTAACCATTGACCTTTTGGTTAGCAGCCAAGCACTGTAACCACTGCACCACCAGGGCTCCTTACGTTACCACCAGATATTTATTTCCATCTGGGGAAACCTTGGTGGCTTAGTGGTTAAGAGTTTGGCTCCTAAGCAAAAGGTCAGCAGTTCGAAACCACCAGGCACTTCTTGGAAACAGGGCAGTTCTACTCTGTCCTATAGGGTCACTATGAGTTGGAATCGACTCGACGGCAATGGGTTTGGGTTTACCACTGAGTTCTCTGGGCAGCATCGAACCTCTGGCTGCCACTCACCTGTTAGCTGTTGTGACAGGTACTCTTTGGGCCAATTATAAGAAATCTCCCTTTATGTATGTGGCAGGGGTTGGAATTTTTTTTCTTTTGCCAAACTATCATCACGGGGGAAAGAACAAAAACAACCTACCTGGCAGAGGGGGCAGGGCCTAGGCCACATCTTAAAGCTGAACTCTAATCCCTCAGTGGAGTCCCTTGGTGGTGCAGACAGTTAATGCCCTTGGCTCCTAACTGAAAGATTGGTGGTTCAAGTCTACCCAGACGTGACTCAGAAGAAAGGCTTGGTGATCTACTTCCCAAAAATCAGCCATTGAAAACCCTGTGGAGCACAGTTCTACTCTGACATCTGTGATGTCGCACTGTGAGTCAGAATCAACTGTTCACAATTAGTAATCCCTTAGCAAAGGTGTAGAATCTAGGAGTCTCAGGCTAGTGGAAAGATTCTGGTCCCACTAACCAACTAAGCCAGGGACTTTGGTAATTTTGCCAGGATCCCTCAGCCTCTCAGCCAGATGCAGAAGTAGACTTTAGGTTCTCAACCATGGTTTTTTCTTACCACAGAGCAGAGCCTTAAGGACGCTCTACAGCGAAGAGCAGGAAGGACTGGCTATCTCTGAGACTCTGCTTCTCACACACTCTCACACGCTCCCGAGTCACCGTATGGCAGTTTTCCTGGGACCATGTGTTCACCAATAGTTCCAGATGTCAGAATTCCACCTGCTTTTTACATACTTATAACAAATTACTGAAGTAATCCAAGTCTGAGTTAATAGTTTAAATAACACAAGGTGTAAAGTATAAATTCCACCCACAACCCCACTCCCCAG